CTAGTAGTACCACTACTACTACTACTACTAGGAACTACTACCAGATACTACTACTACTTACTACTACTACTACTACTACTACTACTACTACTACTACTACTACTACTACTACTACTACTACTACTACTACTACTACTACTACTACTACTACTACTACTACTACTACTACTACTACTACTACTACTACTACTACTACTACTACTACTACTACTACTACTACTACTACTACTACTACTACTACTACTACTACTACTACGAGGTTCGCGCACCTGGTGGCGAGGGGCGGCTCCGAGGACCTCGGCCTCTTCTTCGGGGGCCCCGAGACCTTCGCCCAGCACAGGGCCGGCGCGAGCGCGGCCGTCGTCGACGCCGCCGCGCTCTGGCTCAAGCTCCAGGGCGAGGAGAAGGCGCGCGTCCACGAGAGCGAGGCCCACGGCGCAGGCGCCAAGAAACGCATCGACAACCTCCGCGAGAAGCACCGCGAGACGCACGCCGACCAGGACAGGGCAGCCTTGGAGGCGGAGAAGGCCAAGCACTTGGCAGAGCACCCCGACCGCGGTGCGCAAGTGGAGCAGGCCTACTCGAGCGCAGGGGACAAGCACAGGATCACCCTCAGCAACATCTCCGCGTTCGAGAACTGGTTCGACCCGAGCGGGGGGCCGAAGTCCGCCGAGGAGCGGAGCGCGTTCCTTGCCCCCTGCGCAAGGCGCTGCCGAGTCAGCGACAGGAACCTCGAGGAGAGCACCTGGCAGTGCGACGCCACCTACGAGCGGGGCGATGGCGAGACGGAGCGCTTCCGAGCAGGCGAGCCCCTCGGAGCATTGCTCCAGGGCTGGCGCAGCGCTCTGCTCGAGTTCTCCGAGAGGGGCCGCGCGAGGGTCTTCGAGGCCATCGACGCGCGGGGGCAGCCGAGAGCCTGGGCGGACGAGCTGGCGGCAAGTTGGACCATCGACTTCATCGAGCAGGAGCGCGGCCAGAGCCTCGTGTTCGCAGACTGCCTCTCGAGCCAGTGGACCGAGGCAGTGGCGCTCCGAGCGCGGCTTAAGAATGTCATCTACGCGCCCATGGCCCCCGACGTCACGAGCTCCTTGCAAGAGCCCTACGCCCGCGAGCGCAGTCAGCTCAAGGCCAATATCCGAGAGGTCGAGGCCGGCATGCACTGGGCCATGGGGCAACACTGGATCCAGAAGGCCAGGGGCGAGCCCCAGAAGCAGCGCAACTCCCCGACGAACTGGGGGCCCGACGAGCGCCCCCACTGCGTCTCCGAGGCCAACGCCCGGTTCCGCGAGACGAACAAGGGTGCGGCGCCGCTCCAATGGCTGCAAGCCAACGAAATGCTCGGTCCGGCCGGCCGAGCAAGGCGAGCCCAAGGTCGTCACGGGCATGGGGCCGTGGAGCTACTCCATCGAGCTCAGCCGCGGCATCGAGAACGGCCTGGCGAGGGGGCGCTTCGGGGGCGCCCAGAGCTGGCCCGAGGGCGCGCCGCCCGCGCCCGAGTGGGGCGCCCTCGACGGCAACTGCGTCCACAACGACGACTTGCCGAGGGACTACGAGGAGGGCGACAACCCCTGCCCCCTGGAGCTTCGAGAGCTGGACCTCGAGTTCACCGACGAGCAGAAGGACGTGCTCATAGCGCCAGAGGAGCGGAGCAAGGAGATCAAGTTCCCGCGCGCCCTAGAGAACAGGATCAAGCTGCAACGGACAGCTGTTCGCAAGAACAGGTGGGCGCCCAGGTTCGCGGGCAAGCGCCCGCGCGAGTGGCGGCGCGAGACGGGCGCGACTGGCGGCGAGGCCTCGCGCGAGCACTTGGGCCGAGGCGCGGCCAAGGCGAAGCTCGCAAGCAGGCCGCCGAAGGCGCGCGCGAGCTTCTCGAGAAGTTCAAACAAAAGAAGCACGCGGAGAAGGACGCCAAAAAGCAGGACAATGACAAGAAAAGAGGCCTCGAGGCTGACGAGGAGCCCCCCTGGCACGGCACGGTGGCGCGCGTCGCCGAGGAGGACCGGCCGAGAGGATGCGACTGGTAGGCGCGGTTAACACCAGGCGCTCGCAGCTTATGCGCACGATTGCACTGGGAACCCGCAGCCCGCGCCTTGCTGGGCCGCGGGCAAACGACAAGCCCAAAGAAGCGAGTGACGTTCATCGTAGATGATCGATATCCTCCCCTTTCGATTGAACTTGACCGGGGGCCACCCACAAATTTCATCATGCCCCGCATTCAAGGCGGATGCGCCACAAGAAACAGCACGACACGCCCGGCCAAAGCAATTACCCCTACGGTAGGACCCCGCACGAGAATATGGAAAGAGCGCGCCCGTCGGGACCGAAATAAGAAAAGGGGGGCCCCAGCTTCAAGCTACCCACCCGCCCCTTCCTTCCAAAAGGGGGGGGGGGCTTCTGAAGCCCCCCCCCTCCCTCCTGGCCACTCCAGAGACCCAAGAAGGAGTCGCGGGGGGCCCCCCCGCCTCCCTCCCGACACGGTGGACGGCGACCCCCTCCTTCCGTTCCGCAGGCGACCCCCTTGGACGCGGTGACAACTCTCCCCCCAATGCCGCGCTGCCAGATCAGGCTGGCATTCCGCCTAGGCTTGCGGATGCGCCTCCTTGTCTCTGGTGCCCCTCGTTGCAATGTTTCTCGTCGGACCCTTCCGTCGTACATGCCATTTACACGAACGATGAAGGATTTAGCCTTGGGGGTCTTCTACACTTCTCCTTCTCCGATAGCTCTGAAGGTTACCATCGACGCTTTGCCCGAGATCTTGGTGGTCATATAGAACCGTTTCATGTGAAGGTGATTTGGCACAAGGGGAAGCCGGAAGCAGTCGTTCAGCTGCGATGGCATCGCGCGGCGGAGGTTTGGCAGCCGCGGTGGCAGTTCGACGGCTATTTGGCCATGCTAGTATTCTCCGACTACAAGCATGTTGGCACGTTTGTCGACTCTCGCGGCATGGTTTTTACAACGCGGCGCGCCGAGCACATGCTGCCCTCCAGGCCTGCAATTCTCTTTCCTTTGAGCTTTTCGATTTCGACCAGCTCGAGGATGTTGCAACTTGCTTCCGCGGGTAAATTGATGTTGTCGCGATTCCTTTTTAATTTGCACATCTGTTGGCCATGCGCGTTCAAGAAGCTCGCGAACGCGAGTTCCAGGGTACTCTGTCGAATCGCTGGGGGTCCACGGTTTTCGGCTGACACTGAATTCGCGGATCTGGAGGTCCGCCAGCGGTTGGGCGTTTCCTCGCTCGACTGCCTCCTCCTGTGCGCCCGTCGGCGATGCTTCGGCAGGCTGGTCCAGCACGCTCTTGCCAGCCTGCTGGCCGCCCTTCGCGCGGCCGCAGACGAGATGCACATTCCTTGATTTGCTTTCCTTGCGTCGGATCTCGACCGCTTCAGGGGCCTGGGGTGCACATTGGCGGGTCGCGGCCTATCTGTGGCGACGCGCTGAGTTGGCGCGCCCTTGCTTCTGACGCCGACGCCGCCGCGCGCGCCCCGTGCGCCGGCCAGGTCCGTTTCGAGGCATCCGTTCTGGATCGTCAGGCTCCTTCCGCAGGCAGACGGGCTTTGGGTTGTTGTGATTCAGATAGTTTGCCACTGTTCCGGCAGCTTGAAATTTTATGCAGTTCCTTCGGCTGCCTAGGCCAGGGCCAATGGCCAATGAGCCATCGGATTGTCGAAAGATTGCGAAGGGAAATTTCAAAATCCTCACGACACAATGGCAGCGCTTGTTCAAGATAATGCCCTTAGACCCCACCAAAGGCGACGCCAAAGAGCTAGATGAGCTACTACGGCTGTTCACTTTGTTCTAGTTCCGGACCCACTCTTTTAACGCCAAGCGGCTGCATTTGAGCCCGGGATGTTTCTTCATCCACAGCATGAGGAACGTCTTGGCGCCCCTGGGGGGTGCTTGTGACCAGGCGCTGGGATCACGTGTATCCAGGCGTTCCTGGGGAATTTCGTGAGCGTCTATCATTTGGCTTCACTTGTTCCTTCCTTTGTATGGGCCTTCTACCTTTTTCGTAGAAGCTTACTTACGTAGTTTCGCTTGACCCGCTTGCCACTTCACCGCAGCAAGAAGCCGCAAACTTGGGATAGTAAAGGCTGCCCTTGTGAACCTTACCCCGTCCTCGCCGAAGGCGTCGCCAGTTCGCCGTTGTCCAGTTCATACTACTTCCCAACCCAGCGCCGAGTCCAAGTCCAATCGAAATCATCCTTGCTCCTACTCCTATTCCGCTCATCTTCCTTATCCCCCAACCCGAAAACCCTTGAAACTCATTTGAACGCCGTGAAACGCTCAAACACCCTTTTGTCCCCGAGCACGAACACCTATCAATACATTCCTGCCCTCCTCGGCCTGCTGATCCGCCGCCTCCGTTTCCTCCTCCTCCTCCACTTCCTTCTCATCTCTTCCGTCCTGCCCCCTCTCGTCCTCCATCTTCGCCCTGCTTCTGCTGTTCCTCCTGCTGCTCCTCACCATCATCATCACCATCTTCATCACCACCAGCATCTCTATCATCGTCGTCATCGTCATCGTCGCCGTCGTCATCATCACTTTCATCATCACCTTCATCATCACCTTCATCATCTTCATCAGCATCATCATCATCATCAACACCATCATCATCGTCATCGTCATCGTCATCGTCATCATCATCGTCATCGTCATCGTCGTCATCACCACCAGCATCATCTCTATCATCGTCGTCATCGTCGCCGTCGTCATGATCATCAGTATCATCATCATCAGCATCATCATCGTTATCATCATGCCATCATCGTCATCATCATCAACATCATCAGCATCATCACCAGCATCATCAGCATCATCATCATCATCATCAGCAGCAGCATCATCGTCATTTTCTTCTCCTCCCTCCCCCCTCGTTCTACCCCTCCAGCCCTCCCTCCCTTCCTCTCCTTCCCCCTCCTCCCCCTCTGCTCTTCCCCCTCTTGGGCCTCCCCAGCCAGGGCGCGCGCCTCCCCCGGCGCACTCCCCTACCCGAAGCCAAGGAGGCGGAGCCGGACGTGCTGTCGGAGAGCGGCGATTCGGACGACGGCGACGCCAGGGGCGCACCGGCCGCGGGCGAAGACGACGAGGACACGCCTCGGGGGCAGCGGTATAGGGGTGATACGCTGGGGGGGGGGGGGCACATCGACCCCCAATCGCCGACTCCTTGCCGATACGGGCCTGATGGCCCACCCCGCCCAAGAACGTGTGGATTCGCTGTCGAGGGCCTATGGCAGATCCATCGGCGATGTATCGCCGACTTTATGTCAATATTCCCTCCCCCCCCTGGGCCAGTCCCCGCCTACCGCCACCCCAGGTTAGCGGCGCGCACAATGTGGTGGCACGAAGGGGGCGGCCTTCTAGGGAAGCGGGGGAGCATGCAAGAAGGCATGGGGGCCCTCAGAAGACTTCGGAGCCTCGGGGCCCTTCTGGTCAGGCCCCTGCTCTCTGAGGAGCCCCTCGCATTCTGGGAAGGCCGCAACCTTCGCGCCACCCCCCGTGTGCATGCCGCCAACAGGGATGATCGGGAAAAGGAGGGTTGCCAAGGATGTCCGCGGTTCGGTCGGTTCGGCTGCGCCGCAGTCGGTAGCCTTCGGCCGTTTGGGTTCGGTCGGCTGTTGAGTCGTTGCCGCATCGCTGCGCCTTTCTCTGCCGCTTTCTGCAGACTCGGTTTCGGTGTGATTTTGGCCTCTGCGGGCCCTCCTCGAGAGCCTCTTGGAGCTCTCTTGTAGCACCTTTGGAGCTTCTCGGGCCGTCTTCAGACCATCTGGGGCCATATTGCAGCCATCGTTGGCCGTCTTCTAGCCATCTTGGGGCCATCTTGGGCCCTCTTGGGGCCAACTTGGCCTCATGGGAGGCGTCTGGGGACCATCTTGTAGGTCATGTTGGAGCCATCTGAGGCAGGAGCGGCGCCGGGAGCTGGTTTTTATGAGCGCGCCCAGGTGGCCGGCGGATCGGGCAAGAGGCTATTGTGAACCTCCTGGAAGGGCCAAAAAGTGGTGTAAGATTTGGCACGGCAAGCACCACTTTGCAATCAGTGGTGGCGGCGGATCGAAGACGCCTAATTACGGCGAGTCGCCGCCACCCCCTGCCTTTCGGAAGCGCCGATGTGGCCGAACGTTGTGGCCAAAGCTTGGACAAGCTATTGGACTATGTGTTCCCCGAGCCGCTGTGGAAACTCTCCTGGGAACACATGGGGGATAATGAGGGAGAGCATCATGAGAGGGAGGATGAAGAAGAGGAGGAGTGTGAGGAGAAGGAGGAGGACCAGTGCATACCCAAGACTCATCAACGACATTGCAATCGACCCTCCCCCCAAGCTCCCTCTTCACAGACCTAGACAAGAATTCACAGAGGGAGTTGTCCCGTTGGAAGACAACCGTTTGAACATCCTGAACTGTGTCAGGACATTTTTTTGGGAAACCGTATATAGAACGGGATTAAACACGTTTAAACGAGAGCCTGATACGCTACCTTTTCCGCAGCCTCTTTGGCACAACAGTTATCATGGTAGCGAAGCTGGCTACGGCCAGCTCCCGCTGGGCGCCCCTCCCGCGGTTGAGGGCGCTGGCCATCGCCCTCGCGGCCGCAGCCGGCCAGCCAAGGCAAGCGATCCACGGCAACCAGCTGACCGAGCAGATGGACGAGGTTTACGTGACCACAGGAGTACAAGACGAGGTCTACGTGACCACAGGAGTACAAGACGAGGTCTACGTGACCACAGGAGTGCAGGACGAGGTCTACGTGACCACCAGAGTGCAGGACGAGGTCTACGTGACCACCAGAGTGCAGGACGAGGTCTACGTGACCATGACAGAGCCTGGTGGTGAGTGGCAGGGCTCGGGGCTGAAGCCGCCAACGTTCGACGGCCAGGAGGAGCACTGGACGGAGTGGAGCTCCGTGATGAGGGCGTACCTGGGCGGCCAGACGGTTCAGGCGCTGAATCTTCTGGATGCGGCCGAGCAGCGTGGAGATCCAGACATCAGCATGGCGGAGACCTTGCGTCGGTTGGGAGCCGAGGGGGGTTCGGCAACGAAGAAGATGGTCTTCGTGCTGGTCATGACAGTGCAGGGCAGTGCGCAAATTCTGATCAGGATTGTGGAGGACCAGAACGGGGCGCTGGCGTGGCGAGCCTTGATTAAGCGCTACGAGCCAGCGACTGGCATGAGGGCGCAGGGCATCATGACGGCGATTCTCGACGTGAAGCCTTTCCCTTCGGATCTGTCGGGGTTCGAGCAGCACCACGCCGACTGGGAGCGCGACATCAGACGCTACGAGACGGCATCAGGGGAGGTGTTCAACGCAGGAGTCAAGAAGAGCATCTACTTACGGAAGTCTCCTAATAACATCAGGACGGCACTGCAGATGCAGAGCGAGAGGAGCTACGACGAGCTGATTCGCACCACGATACAATACTTGCAGGCGGTGACGGTGCATGAGGACGGGCATCAGCAGGAGTGGTCAAGCTCACCAGGACCATGAGCAGAAGGCGGTAAAGGAAGTCGAACCTCAGGAGCCATGGAGTCGTTACCATACGCTCCCTGCCGCCATATATGTACATATAACATATGCACTGGCTTGAACGTTAACTTGACTGATCGAAAGCCCCGCATTCTCTTTTCTCCCTATCCGCTTAACGGACAGTCGAACCTCATACTTCAATGGCTACCGCCGTTTTCTTTGCCGCCATAGTCTCTCGGGAATCCTCGAGCCCAAGGCGCTCCTTGGAACCATTGCTAGGAGTGCCACATTCATCACCTGTGCACCCTGATCACATTGGCCCTGTTGGGCTCAAGTTAGGCAAAGATGGGTTATCAGCCGAAGGTGCCGATCCAAGGCTGACCGACCATGCTGGTCATCTTGGGGCTCGCAAGATACTCGCCCCGCAAGTGCGGGACATGACCTTGGCTTAATAAAACCGGAAAAGTATGGGGCTCGGGTCGACGGACCGACGTCGTCGACCTCCCAGCGCATCCAATATCAAGAAAGAACGGATGGCATGCCTGTCAACCGTGGAAGACAGGATGCGCCTATCCCAGAAGAAGTATCCGACGAAGAAGACGAGTGGCACGGCGGCAAAAGCCGCCCTCGGAACCCGCTCTCCGACGATATTGCACATGCGCGCGTCGCCCTCCCCAGATCGTCGGACGAGGAAGGAATGGTAAAGACCCCGCAGAACAAGAAAGACATTTTTCCCGCGTCGAGCTCATCGGAGCCGATCGAGACGTCAATGCTCGAAAGAACTCCTGTCAGGGAGACTGCGGACCATGTCCGGAGCCTGGCAGGGGAACCGATGTTGGGAGACCGCGAAGACCAAACTGGGACCCAGAGACCATCGCCCGGGAGGGTCGCGACGGAAGCGCGACACGGAAAGACCCCGAGGGGGGGCCGGCTGACATCAAGGCGTCGCCTTGCGAGAAGCGCCCCAAGATCGAGACCGGTGGGCTGGGCGCCCATGACGTGCCCAGCCCAATGCCGGGGGCCCGGCTCCGGGGAAGACAGCTCCTCGATTCCCCGAGCTCCATCTCCCAGAGATCAAGGTCGGCAAAGGGCCGTCCTAGCCGCGCCTCGAGGAGCTCCCAACGCAGTTCGTCTCCGTCGAGGTCGTCGGCGCCCCGATACATGACTAGGGAAGCTTGTGCCCATCAGGGGCCGGACTGCGCAGCAGGCCCCGAGGGCTGCCGCCCTGGCCGCGCGCGCGCGATAACGAGTCATGCAAGAAGCCGGTGTGCCGAGGCTGCTCATTCCAATGTTCGCTGTGTAACTTGAACTACTTGCGCCTGGCCTGTGCGCCCCCGAAGCAACGCAGCTGTTTTGCTCTCAGGAGCAGCAGCGAGAGATGAGGCGGCAGCAAAGGGAACAATAACGCATTCCGAAATTGTTGCAATGCGCACGATGATGGCCGACATGAAAGCCAATCAGAAAAGGCCGGCCGAAATCGTAGCGCAGTAGGCAGAGTGCGAAATGCGTGAAATCCCCCAGGGGGAGGGGAAAGCAAAATCAATCCCCCATGAGGCCGCGCATTCGGCGGACCGCGAGGCTAGGGAACAGACGAAGACCGAACGAGCCATGGCCGAGCAAGCGCGCCAAGCCCTCCGGGGAGCTCAAGACAGGGAAGCACAGCTCGAGAACGGCATCCGTCTGAAACTTCAGGAAGCCGCAGCGCTCCGCGATCAGTCCGTCTCTGGGGCGGAACAAGTCGCCGCGAAGTCAATCGCTGAGAAGCGCCACTTGGAGGAGGAGGCCTGCAATGCCCAAGAGACGGCCATGTCACCTCTACGAGCTGCGCAAACGACGCAGCAGAAGTTGGAGAGCGAGGCTCGCGCATCGCAAGCTGGGGCCGCGAAGATACACGCCGAGCTTGAACGATTCACGGAATCCGCGTCGGCCATCCGGGGGTGGGGGGGGCAGTGGGGAAGCCAAGGCGCTACTCCAAGCAAGGGCTGAGGTCTGCGCTGAACACGAGTCGGCTTCCCGCCGGGCGGCCGAGCTGATGTCTATGCACCGGCGCGCTCAGCAGGTCGTGGCGACATCTCAGGCCGGCCATGCCAGCGCGAGGAATGAGGCGGAGGAAGCAATTCGGGCCATGCGGAATACCGCAATGCAGGCCCAGTTGGAAGTGGAGGCAGCGAAGCAACACTTCCAAAAGGAAGCTGTCTCGACCGCGCATAAATGGGAGGCCCAGCGCGAGTTCACCTACCGACAGCGAGCAAGACAGCTGGTGCAAGACGGTCTGCAGGGCATGGCAAGCGCGGGCAGAAGGGCTGCATCGGCAACCGCGTCGCGGGTCCGAACATCGGGAGGGGGGGGGCTACAAGTCAGCGAGAGGGCCCCCGACCCAGACCGGCCATGACCGACGAAAATCGATGCTTCATCTGCAACGCTTCCGATGCCCCGCGCAGATGTGAAAGGTGCGAAGGGCCGTTCTGCGAACTGCACTTCGACTGTGTAATGAAACTCTGCCGTCGGCGCGAGCAAGACAGGGCACGTGGCCACGAAGCAGTGCTGAGGAAGCAGCATGAAGAATAAGAAGAAGCCCTGATGAAGAAAGGGATGCTGGAGGAGGAAGAGAACGCTCGGACCAGGGGCG